TAACACAGTTGAGAAAGTCCAGAAATATTCCACAAGAAGAGTTCTACACTCCTCTACTCGTTGCAGAATACCCTATGCTACCACACTTGAAATTCTAGACCTAGAAAATCTAGAACTATGCCGCCTTCGGTCCGATCTAAGTATAGTATATAAAATCATACATTGCAATGTCCTACCTGTCAATGAATACTTCAGCTTCAACCATAACAACACAAGAGCACACAATTGATACAAACTCAAGGTTAACCGCACCAAACTTGATTGCAGGAAATACGACTTCAGCAACAGAGTGGTCCATGTCTGGAATAGTCTACCTGACTCTGTGGTTTCTTCCCCAAACCCCCAAATGTTCAACCTTAGACTGTCTACTATTGACCTCACCCCTTTCCTAAGAGGTCTATAGGGAGCGTGCATAAGCGCACCAACATGCCTACCGTCCCTGTCCTATTCTTTTATTTCTTTTATTTTTCTTATATGTATCCATGTATTCATAACTATGTTTTTACTTATAACTATTATCTTGTAAGCAATTGACAAAAACAAATAAATAAAAATAAAATAAATAGTAATGGCTGATTTTGCTTTTTTAGAAAAGATATAGGTAATGCTCATAAGACACTGTTATAATGGAAGAAGGTAATCCTTGACTTGCAGCCATTTGTTTAGTGACCATTCAAAGTTACAACAGCACTGGAAAAAAGTGACTTATGATGGCTTTTCACACTTACAACTGTTGCAGCATCCTCCATGGCCATGTGATCAAACTTCGGAGGCTTGTCAACTGGCATGTATTTTTACGGCGGTTACACTGTCTTTGGGTCATGTGATCACCCTTTGCGACCTTTTTAGCAAGTGAAATCCATAGGGAAGCCTGATTCATTTCACAACCAGGTTACTAACTTGACAACACAGTGATTCACTTAGCAACCGCGGCAAGGAAGGTCATAAAATGCAGCAAAAATAACTTAATAACTGTCTTGCTCAGTAACACTAATTTTAGGCTCAGTTGGGTTCGTGAGGGGGAGGACTACTTGTATATGAGAATCAGATGCAACGTATATTTCCCAAAATGGGAGTATTTAGACATCAATTTGCTTTATCCTAGCTAGCTTTGTGAACCTCCTTGTCACAACCGACAGTTTTCTGGTCTTCATCAAGAGTGAATTTTCAAGTCTGAAGACTTTGCATTACTCCGCTCAGCAATGTAACTCAGAAGGTGTCAAACTTGATTTCATTGAGGGCCGCATCAGG